CCCCATCCTTCCCTCAACAAGCTTTTGAAACCCAGTTTTCAGTTTTGTACAAGTTACTTTAGACGTAAACAAAACACACACACACACACTACTTGTTGTGGAAATTTCATGTTTACAATGCTCCCAAGGTGAACTAATCACATAATCTTTTATATTTAATGAAGCACCAACTGCCTCAGCAGTCTGTCAACAACCAAGATCTTACTTGCCCATATCTGTGTTTATCAGCTGATATTAAATGAAAGAAATGAAAAAGTCTATACAGTATTGATTGGAAGTTTATATGCTGTATCAGTTTTATCCGTTATGTTTAATTATATCACAAACATTACTGTATATACAAAAAAAACATACCCTTTTTTTCTAATGAAAAATCCACTAAAACATTTCAGACACCAGGTCAGTTTTCTTTGGTGACCTGACACCCAGAATTCATCAAACCCTGACAGAAACTAGTCACATTATTAGAAAGCGTGATATCTTCATTTGTATAAGTTGTGTTTGTTCGTTCTAACTGGTGTAACGTATTAGGTCGTCAAGAAATTAATGTCTCGTTTCAGAACACTTTCATTAACCCCCCCCCCAAATTTACATCACATATAATAGTTAAACAAACTGCCTAAATGTCACATTAGTGTAGCTTATATAATGTGTAAAGTTTATGATTATAATAAATGTTTTGTTTTCAGATATAAGTTGTTCGGGTGTTTTCATCTAAAAAAAGCTACATCAGTTTCTTGATGGTCTAATATTTAGTTTGGCCACTCAGACTTATGGCAAGAATTTTAATGATTTGAATGGTAAATTTTTAATAAAATATTTATGACCATTAACAGTTTATTAGTCAAGTATTATAGTGATGTTAAATATAATGAGAACATGGTTTGGGAAATATTTTGGTAAAAGGACATTTAAAACTCTGTGGAGTGTTTGTTTTTTCAGGAATGTATTGAAAATAGAAGGGAAAAAAACAATATTTACAGATTAGAATATGTTAGTATTAGGTCATCAAGAAATTAATGTCGCTCTTTTTTAGGTGAAAAGAACCCGAACAACTTATATCAAAACAAAACATTTATTAAATGAAATAGTCTCCATTTTTATCTTTTTCATCTTACAATCAGGTTGTTAATGCCTTGATTAAAGAAATCACTTGGCTTTGAAGCAAAAATATGTCAATGTTCTCTTTAATACCTTCCACATTTGCATACGTTTTCCTATTAAGATGGTGTTGCAGCGAACGAAAAAGATGGTACTATATCTGGAGAATATGGTGGGAGGGGAAGAACTTCCCAACTCAACTCCATAATCTTGTGTTGCATCAAATGTGCCACATGTGGAAGTGCATTGACGTGGAGAAGAAGAACACCTTTCCAATTGACGAGTGAAGTGCATTTCTGAGGT